CATCAAACATAATTATTTCTAATAGCTCTAATTATAAAATGATGTATTTTCTAAAAAAATTCATTTGTTTATTTATTTATAATATGACTCATTTGTTTCAGGTTGTCTTCATGGTTCTAAATGTACATCCCGGGTCAGTGTGTATGATGGCTGTGAAGATGATGCAACACCAGATTTAAAAAATGATCCAAAATACTCTGTGCCTGTTTCCATGACAACTTCAAACGCACATTTCAGCTACGAAGCACGTCAGGTTTATTATGGCAACCACAAAGAGTCCTTGAAAAATAAGGTAATTCAGTAATAATGTTTTTAATTGCTAATTCATTGCAGTATATTACTTACATGTACATGTTAGTTTTGTATTAAAGTAAGGTGGACGATACAAGAAAATAATCCAATGTCAACAATGTTAATTTACCGTTGTCTACAATCTGTGGTATATTATTTTATTCAGTTGAATGCCATGAGTGTTATTTGTAGCCGAATCCAATTGGCTATCAAGGTTGACTTCTTTTGAAAACCACAAGTCCGATTTTTTTTGATATTATACATATAGGTACTACAAGTAGACCTTTCTCAGATTTGTTCATTTTGTGATGATATCTTCAATTCTCTAATTTTGTTGAATATTTTTGTCATTTTTGGTAAAAAATCATATTTTCAACTTCTTGTTGAAAACCACAATTCCGATTGCTTTGATATTATACATATAGGTACCTCGGGTGGACCTCACTCAGATTTGTTCATTTCGTGATGATATCTTCAATTCTTTATTTGAAATGTGCATTGCAAACAGTGGAGCTATCTCAGCAGAGAGACTGTTTTCTTTTGTTGAAACATCAACTTCATTTTGAATGTACCCAAATTAATAAAGTCAATTTTCTCCTTGTCTCAAAATGTTTTATCTTGACAGTAAACAGCATATTTGATATTGTCTCTGAGTAGCTTGGCCTTTTACATTCTCTTACAGACCATATGTAGTGATATGTGTTTGATGCAAACCATATTACACAGTGTGTGGAGTCATTACATTGATAACACTAGTTTCTGTTTATGATAAGGAATGATGTATTTACTGTGAGAATACTTAGAGCAGTATGAATTTCTACATTCCATTAAAGATAATGTCAGTATGTGATCACTATGGCAACGTACAAGTAGTTTGAGATTTAAGCTGAAACTTGAATTATAAAAATAGTCCATTCACTGATCATCTATGTTGTACACTGCTTGGCGTCAACTTTGTAATCTTATTTTTTTCTGTTAATGACAGTTTTTTTTTTATTCAACATGTTTTCTCTGGATTCTATGATAAAGTTATTTCAGATTATTTTATATTCTAGCACACCTGAACCATAAGATTGATGTTCTCAGTCTTTGAACAAGTTTGCCATTAACTGTGCAATGTTATTAAAGTCGTCCTATGCATGGACTGCCCTGGAATATGTATTTTCTCTGCCCCGGAACATGTATTCTCTCTGCCCCTGAATATAGATTCTCTC